GTAATATGTTATTTCCAATTTGTGCTCTACTTTAAGCAACATCCGGTAGAAGTTTGGGTTATGGAATTATCTTATGATTATTTACAGTAAACTAGTGTGCATGCACAAACAAAACAAAAAACGCCTAACTTGAATATTTTAGCCATTTTTAGCAACTTACTGTGTCGTCAGAAGCAGTAGACACCGGGTTGTCCTCTTGGGTGAGATACCTAAAATTAAAATCCTTGATCAAGAAATATGTAGGCCTAATGGACGTGTGCATGTGTTCTACTTACTGAATTGTAGAAGAACCTCACCCATATCTTCAGAAATGTCCCTAACAAAAATGTTGTGGTAATGTTAAAACACTGATTGGTAAATTCCATTCATGTGGTGAAACCTTTAAGACTGTACATTATAACTGTAGGTTATACAGTGGACATGGTAAGATCATTTTTACCTTTATACAAACATACTTAACATAGATTATGGGAAACTAGAAAATGCATTTCCTGCAGAAAATGCGTGGGAATGCTGAGTAGCTAAAGCTAAACTGGTTGAATAGCTTAAAGCCATGAGAAGAAGCTTAAGTAGTGGGAGTAGTTGAAAAAGTGGAAATCGGTTTAATAAGTTTGAATTTAATTAAAAAGTTATATACACTGCATAGAACGAAAAAGCATCAATTTAGCTGAGATGAGATGTGAAATATATTAGGTGAAAAGAATGGGGCTGAACAAGAAGGAGAGGAAAGAGAGGAGAGGAATAGAGAAGAAAGAAGAAGAGAAAGAAAGAGAGGGAGACAGGAGGGAGGGATACAGTTAGAGGGAGGTAGGGACACACAGACAGATAAGGAGACAGAAGCATTCCTGCTAATTATGCCACATATGTTTACATGATACCTGTAGCTGGTAGCTTTGTAGCTAGCTTCTAGCATGTTTTACTTTTGTTTATGTCTTTGCTTAGTTCTTTCTGGAACGGGTGCTTCGTCGTTGACGAGGTACCTTTTTGTAACGTACTGGATCTGGATTCTTTTTCTTTATTTGTTGCTTATTTACCACAGACCGTAAAGCATACTGGCAAGCATGTGTCCACTCTGGTCCGATCGGCCGCTACAGCGTCGCATGCGAATTACATCATCACCCGCGCTGGGCCGCTTGTGGATGACGTCCTTCACATGCAGGTGCCATCTTATCTTTCGCGCCGAAAGATAACGGCTGGGACTAAGTAAAAAGTATTAAAAATGGAGACATCAGCGTCCCGCTATGTCCTACTTGAATGGACTGAGGGTGATGATGGACTGTGTCCGGAATTTTTCAGTTCAAGAATTTTTTGCCTCGACTGAACAAAACGAGAAGCTGGTGGAATGACGAAAAGGCCGCCAACCCTGGCCGGTTCACCGAGCCAAAATTATTGACGTGGCAAGTAAGTTATGTTACATTTCTATTATGTATATCACATTAAATTTTGCTCGCACTTAAAGAAGTGTAAAATGGATCTTGTTACCTGACTAGCTTAGTATGCTGGCTGACGTTTCAATAAAAATATTGATACAAATTATGATATATTGTTGTTTTCAGAAGTGATGTTACGAGATGTGCCGACGCTTCGAAGCGTGTGTCGAGTAATGGAGGGGGCGTTTCCTCGAAGCGCGTATTGAGGCTCGCTTCCAAAAATGATGACGTCCGAAGCCCGGCTGTACCACGTTACTGCTTCAGGAAGTGGTTCAGATTTTGCCGGGAGGTTTGACAGCAAATGTCACGGAAATAGCTTCGAGGAAAACGCTTCGAGGAAACGCCCCCTCCATGTTATGTCCAGCCCTGAGTATTAAGTTAAGTTGGCTGGATATTTATAATTTATTCTTCGGTTATGTGTTGTTATAGTTTACTCACCTCTCCTCTCGTTTCAGACTCCTCCCCCCCCCCCCTCAGGTGTGTGGGTTCCACCTGGGTGATTGTCAGCTCCTCCCTGATTGTTTGCACCTGGCCCTCATCACCCGGTGTATTTAGTCTGTGGGTTCCTGTCCTCTGTTGCCAGTTCATCTTTGATACACCATGTTCCTAGCGTTCCAGCATTCATTCCTGATAGCCTTCCTGTTACCGACCCCTGCCTGGTTAACGAGTTACGTCTCTGCCTTTTCCCTGCCGGATACCTTGCCTAGTGATCGACTGCCTGCCCGTGTACCGACCTTGGACCAGAATTTTTACAAACTCTGCACCTGCCAGCCTCCTGTTGGGTCATTATACCCGTGTTTGTACTGCCATCCGACAGTAAAGTTGGTTAACTGCACCTTCTTGTGTCTCCGAGTCGTGGAATTGGATCCACACACTTGTCTGCACACCTCACACTCCATTACTCGACACACGCTTCGAAGTGTCGGCACATCTCGTAACATCACTTCTGAAAACAACAATATATCATAATTTGTATCAATTAGATTTGCCCCCTCATATGCCAATATTTATATGGCAGATTGGGAGCAGACTATCCTGCCCCAATGTGAGAAAACACCTCGCCTTTATCTGAGATATCTTGGAATCTGGATGCGTTCGAAAACAGATTTTGTACAATTCATTCAGACCCTTAATGGCGGGTCTGAATGAGGTGCGTGGGGATCCGTGTGTCGCCCGCTTGCCTGATGGGGCGCAGGAGCCTTATGCTCAGTTAGTCCCTTTTGTCTCCACGTTTTCTCCCATGTTGCTACAACGCAAGACTACAGTACACTGAAATTTTTCAAAAACTACACGACCTCTGATTACAGCTTATGGAAGAAATACTAACCTTCAAGACCTCCTGGTCCATGCAGCACTTTAGAGTGGAAAGACATCTCAAAAGAGCCCATATTTTAGGTCCATTAAATTCTTGACCAATAGACTTACGAACCTCAGGGCCCCAGTCCACCAACGTTTCCACCTGGAATCCACAAAACTACTGTGTGGAATCCAATGCACACAATGTGCTCTGATATAGATAGGACATAAAAGGACTACATTAAAAACCAGACAAAAACAGCATCGATATTGTATAGAAACATTTCATTGTACTAGGATTTCAGGCCTGGATTCCAGAATGGGCTGGTCAGGAGCCCAAAGGTGGCGAGCGGAGATTTGGATCGCCAAACTTAACACGGCGATTCCCAATGCCCTTAATGAGGTCACTGGAATGCTGAGTTTGAATCAACTACATTTGAGTGTACATGTGAGACCATCGAATGTACTCCAGGGAAAAGTTAGTTTTCCGAGAGTTGATTTAACTGTTTTCTGAAGTTAAACCTGAACACTTGTGGGAGTTAATATTAATCCCATGTGGGGTAAAATACAACTGAATTTTAATGTCCACTCTTTTATGGTGTTAAGTCAAAACTTAAATATATATATATTAAAAAGTAGTACAAAACTGAAAAACATTGATTGCCAACATTTTTATTTTAAAATGTGTGAACATGTTACAGCAATTAAGAAGAAAGTGCAAACATTGTATAAAAGCAACGCTGTCTGATTGCATACAAGGATGTGGGGGTGTTAGCGTTTGTGGTAGGTAGTGAAAAAAGGCAACAGTTTATTGACTGCAGGCTGGAGCGGCAGGGTGCAGATGGGTGGAGGATCCACGGAGAGGCGAGGATGACAACCGAGCGAAGAGGCACACGGAAGGTTCTGCACGAAGCAAGCAAGAAGCAGGAATTAGTCCACGATATGAAACAAGACGTGAAGGTTGAGCGAAACAACTACCAAGAACTATGGAATAATCTGGCGTTGGCTTGTTGAGCGGACCTGATCTTTATAGTGGGGATGATTAGGATTGAGTGCAGGTGCGCCTCGTCCCCTAGCGCTCACAGCACCAGCAAAGGGAAACAGAAGGGGAGGAGGAGAGACGAAAACAACTACACAAATCCTCAGAGGGCCACACAAGATAGAGAAAATTGAACTTTGGCAATTTGGTTGCAAAAATAGTAGGTGAGGGGAGGAGGGGCTAGCTGTGCTCCAGATGTGGGCTGTGATGCAGAAGATCTGTGGTTCGAGTCCCGTCTCCGGCAAGTTGCAATCAAAGTGTGTTAAATGATGGCAGTTATGGAGATTTCCCTAATAGACAGGTATGTATGAAATGAAAAAGCTTCCAAAACCAAGTGCAGAAAATACCCTTTAATAGCTTAAATAACACATGACAATAACACACTATAACAACTGTAAATAAAACCCCTCATTTCCCCCCGCTATGTGCATTTTGGACCTCCTCCCTCCACTGCTCCACAGTCTCGCCCCCGACAGCAGCACAATAGGCTACACCGTAGAGCCGAGTGTGGCCAGGTTCTAATTTTTTGGGCTGGCCACACTTGGAGCAGGTGTACTGCTGACGGGGATTTTTAGGTGGCATCAACTGACCAGCAGCAGCAGCCGCCGCCGCCTCGGCCGCCCCCCTCTTCCTCCAGACAGTGGTCCTGCACACTCTGGGTGTTGAGGAGGCGGATCTGCAGGACCAGGGAAGACACAAAGGAGCAGTGGAGGAAGGCCGCTGGACGAGGGCCCTGGCTTCTCATCCGGCACATTATAATAGAAGGGCTGTCCTTGTCCCACTTGAACAAAGGACAGCCCTTTGACGGGAACGAGAGGCTCGGCAGGGACAGCAGTGACAGCAGCTCCCTGCTGCAGCACAGCCGAGACCACCCCGCTCTGCTTTCGAGAGAACCTGGGAGACAAACACAGAATGTCGTCAGGCTCTTCAATCCAGCGATAAATCAGAGTGCAGACCAGAATCCGTCAAAGCAGCTTCACGTTAAACTCCACTGGATCAAGGTCCTGTGGTTCAGCTCAAAGAGCTTGTTACGTCCCCTGTTCTGTGTATAGGTTTGTGTGTGTGTTCTGTTTTGTGTGTGTGTGTGTGTGTGTTCAAACAGGTGGTCCTGATCATCCATGATCTCCCATCAATCTGGGCTCAACCCCGGCACGTACCCGGGTTCAGCTGTTTCCATTCTTCTCCAATCCCCATCATGTTCTTCTTTCAGTAAATGTACCCCCTGTGTTTGTTCCCCCCGGGGGGGGGGGGGGTGTCACTCTGGTTGTGTGTATGTGAGTGCTTGTGTATGGTGGGGTAGTTATTAGTTCTGGTGGCCTCCACCAGGCGGCTGGCACTGGCCAGGTGGAAGGCCCTGAGTTGACCCCGAGGAGGCAGCTGAAAAAGTCACGAGGAGCAGAGTGTGGGTCAGTACACAGCAGATATGTACCAGAGGAAAGATTCCTGCTCTAAAGCAGTCTCACCGTTGGAGACTCTCCTTTCCAGCACAGGAGGTGTTCTTCCCCTTCGCTGCCTTGAACCGGCTCTTTGGTTGCCTCTCCCGGTATCTGGGAGGGTAGTTGACTCGCCGCTTGTCCTGCTCCGCCAAGCGAGTCCAAAGCAGGATGAGTCGTTCTACTCTCAGGCAGCCCCAGAAGGTTCCTCCCTTCCACCAGCGCCTAGGCCAGGTTCAGGACGTGCTGGTACCCAGGCCATCAGGACCCTGGATGTTCTCCTGAGAAGAAACGAGGAGGAACAAAGCCAGTAAACACAGTGCTGTAAGAGACTCGATCTCACAATCATCAGTATGTGAACTTAGTTCAGAGTCTGAGGAGGGCTGCTGGGGATCAGGGTCCTGAACCTCTGGGGCCTCAGGAGGGGCAACTTGACCAAATCGGGATGGCTTAGACGGTGCGTCAGCTGGATCACCTGACCGAGATGCTGCCACGCTGGAGGATGGAGTATCGGGCCCGAAGACTGTAGGGTCCGCTAAGTCTTCCTCGATGCCCTCGTCCTCCTCCAGCGCCTCGATGGTAGGAGCCTCGTCCGGAGTGTCAGGGTCCAGGCTGACGTCCTCAAGCACTTTGCCTTTCTGCTGGTACAGGTACTCAACTCCGATGTGCTCCCCTCTCACACAGAGAAGGAATCAGTCACGGCTCGTTTTGCTCTGTTATGAAATGAGGTGTTTTCACATCGCATACCTGTGTACTTAGCCAGCTCGGTGAAGTCCTTAACCACCTGAAGACCAAGCACTCTTTGGCTCTTCTGGTTAACAACGTGCTTGAGGTGGCCACTGTAGGAGTGCAGAGGTCCCAGCCGTCCCTCATCTGCAGCCGGTGGTGGTGCAGCTGCTGCTGCGCGGTCCTCGCTCCACCTCACCAGTCCATTCACCAGGAACGCCTGTAAGTGCTTGGCACTGTAAATGGAGAGTACATTTGTCACAAGCTGTGAGACACATGCCGGTACCTGGGATGAACCAGTTATGGTGGAGGTGGAAGGACTCCAGAGAGGGTGGAGCCCCTGCGCAGCGATAAATGGGCAGGCTGACTCCTCCCTTGGTCAGCCGGCCCATCTGGGTTTACAGCTGCACACCTGGCAGGTCCTGGATGCAGCTGAGGTGGGTCCTCTGCGTACTCCATATGTCCTGGAAGCGGAGACTGTTGAGCAACGGGATGCCCAGGTTGTTGCGTCCTGCCGGTCCACCGAAGGTGTCGAGGAGGGCCGATTCCTCAGGCCCACGTGTCCTGCAACGGCAGTGGAGCCTCCACTCCTCCCTGGAGATCCTCTGGATCACCGCAGCGTCGGTCAGTCCAACCATCCCGTGCTTCCCCTCCAGCCGGGACCGCTTAGCCTCTGCGAGATGGCGTGCATCTCCGGCGTAGAAGATGCAGTGAGACAGCTTCCCCATGAAGGCGGGGTACAGCTCGTGGCTCTCGGTGTCGACACCTGATGGGAAGCGTCGCCCCAGCCAGTCGGTACTGCCTCATCAAGCCCGCCGCCATCCTGGACAGGCCCCCAGCGCTCTCGGTGCAAGTGAGGACGCTCATGAAGACCTGCCCGTGCTCATTGCCGACGTTGGTTGCCCAGGCGGCCGTGTCGGAGGAGATACCCACGAGCAGAGAGATTCTGAGAGTTAATGTGAGAAACACACAGCAGCTGGAAGGAAAAGAAACTGACAGACTGCACTCGCCGCCTTGGTGGAATCCATCTTTAAGATGGACCCTAAGGTGGACGTGATCCTGGCCTTGTACTCTTCCAGCCGCGCCAGGACGTCGTAGCTGTATACAGTCAGCAGCCAGACGGGGGATGGCAGAGGTGGAATCTGCCCCCTTGCCGAGCCCAAGGCCAGGAATCGCTCGCACACGCTGAGGTACTGGATCGCTCTCCGCATCCAGGTGTCCGAGTGCTGCTCCCGCAGGGTGTTGTACAGCTGGTTGGCACTGTTGCGCAGAGTGCGGGACCTCAGCTGTATCACCACCCTCATGTCACAGGACAGCCTGCAGAACGCCAACATCACGTAGAGCTGAGTCTGCACCTCCAACGGGATGTTCAACACAAATGGTGAAGAAATGCCTCCTTACTTGTACGTGAGTACAGCTGGGAACTGGCAGCTATGGGTGGGGGACAGCTGCCTGATGATGCCCTGTGACCACCCTCCGACGTGCTTCTTACATCGACGGCACTCCAGGTACTCTGTGCCCATGAGGTACCAGCCGTCGATGTCCAGGACCCTCCGGATGGTCCTGTACAGCCCAGCCTTGATCAAGGACCCAGTGCACAATGGCTAGGGGCATGTCAGCTGCAAATCCGGTGTGGCATCCAGAGGAACAGCCGACATGTGAAGAAGGGGTCGGGGGATGCGGAAGGCTGGTTGTAGACCGGCCGGGATTGGGGGGGTGCCAACAGAGGTTGAGCTCACCGACGAGCCAAGGCCTCCACTGGCTGTCCCTGGTAAACAGCACCCATCCGATCCACTGCTGCCGCTCCACAGTGAGAGCTGCCCTCCAGGACTGAGGCAGCAACTGGTGAGATGACAGCACAAACATAAAACCATTTTAATATCTATAGACAATCAGCAGGGACACCTGTGGTCTCACGTGTTAGAGATACTGCCTCACCTCACTGACAGAAGATGGAGGGGGAGGGAGGAAGCCTGGACCGGGCAACTCCTCCTGTTCCTCCATGGCGACGGGTGCAGACGGCGGCTGGAGGCAAGGGAGCCGGTGTCCCTGCAGGCTGAACCACGACAAGGGCTGTAGGAAGTTCCATCAGGGCGTCTATCTCCTGCGAGGCTTCCAGCAGCTCCTCGTCTGTGGGCTTGTCCAGCAGAGCAGAGACACCAGCTCCTGGAGGAGGAGGTGCTGCCGAGGAAGAGGAGGTGGCGACGATCGCAGCGGGTGGTGGCAGGAGTAAAAGAGGGGCCTTTTGCAAGGTAAAATAAATGTTTGAGGTAAACGCTTGAGATTAAGATGAATTATTATTAATACTGAGAGACTGACGAAGAGCTGCATTTACACACCACAAGAGATCAGGAGGTGGTTTTAAAGAGAGAAAGTCAGGGTGAGATGATAACTAGTTAGCCATGCAGATGTTGAGCTAGCCAGGCACTGATGAAAGCACAGTGAAAAAGACAATGTTATTTGTAGAGGTGGGTTATTGATCCAAGATGATCATCAAATCGCTGACCCAAAACTTACCAGTCATCTGCTTTCGTCCTCTGATCAAGAAACGTTTTAAAGTCATATTGATTGTTGACGCTTTTTTTAGTACTTTGTGAACAAAGTGTTTCCTGTTTATGACTTTACTCTTTACTTACACGTCTGTCTCCAAGTCAACTACCTCCGTGACCAGCTCTTCATCTCAAGTCTCCACAGATGACCGGGGGGAGGACAGAGCTGGTCGGAAGGGGCTGAAGTGGGGGGCTGCAGACACATGATGACAGAAGATAAACCAGGAACACGGGAGCGTAGATCAAGTGGAACATCAGTAAATAACTGAGGCTGGACTGACCTGTAGATGCAGGCTTAGGGGCCACCAGCTTCTTCACCTGGGCCTGCATCTCCACAGCAGATAGAGACAAACACCACAAGCGCTGGACCAAGAGGCCTATTATGACACACGATAAATGACACGCAACAATAATTGAGACAACATTACAAAAAGCACTTGTGATGCACTCCTGGCTCTCAGGGTTGCGGGCGATGCAGAGGCTGCGCTGCTGCTGGAGGCGGTGGAGGAGGTAGATGCTCCAGCAGCAGCTTTCATCCTCTGTCTGTCTCTGTTGCGCACATACTGGACGGCGTTCTCCATCTGCGTCCCTGGAGCTGGTGACGTCCTCCGGAGGTATTTGACAAAACTGCACAAATCAAACAATCAACACTCACATGATTCTGATGATCGATGGTCGCCACAGTAACGTGACTATAGTAATAATAATGATCTTTTTCACCGGATCTTTTTGTTGTCCGTTGCCTCGTAAAGGCTCTCCAGGGACTCAAACTTAAAGTCCCCGAAGCCAACAAGGGCCCGTCCCTGCTGACCGGGCTGGAGGGAATTTGCCCGCGCCTCCTCAAATGCCCGGTGGAACCTGACTGTCTCCACAAAGTCCTTGTAGGTGGAGGAGTAGCGGGTGAAGGGGTCCTGTGAGGTTACACAGTGAGATTACACTATGAGGTTAAATATCATAATTTCTCTAATTGTAACTGTCTGAAAGTGTTATGAAGGACTTAACCTCGTTGGCCATCAGCGGGGACTGAGCCTCCGTCCTCTGGCGCTCTTTCTGGTGGGAGGCGACCAGATTGACGCTGTAGCCCACGTCGTTCTCCAAAAGCCAGTGGAAGGTTCTGCCCTGGTAGCGACCCAACTGCACCTTCCACCGGCTCAGGACCAGGGAGGCGTTGGTGGTGTCACCGCCCTCGGTGACAACGAAAGTCCAGGCCTCCGAGTCCACCTCCTCTGGCCTCTTTGCCCTGTAAGGCGCCTGGGCACTGGGGGGCATCTGGTTTGGCGGCAAATCACTGTCAAAATTTGAGAGCGTAAATCAGGTTGATGCGCGCACCTCAATCAAACATCCGCGAGCAAATGTCCGTCTCGCGTGAGCAAAAGTCCATCTTGCGCGAGATATTTGCCCTCTCGCGAAACGTGAACTTCCTCGCTTGCGAGGTTAGTCTCTGCTCGCGCTCGAAGGTGTTTTCTACGCGCTCGCTGTTTTTCTTTTTGACAGTAAGGGGGCGGAGCCAGTCACCATGGTATCTACATCTGATTGGTTACAAACCCCGTGTTTGGATTGGCTGGAGTGATGCATTCACACAACTATAGAAGCCCATTTCTGCACTAATGTAAGGGGATAGAAAGTCGAATTTCTGAGATAAAACGTTCGGTAACCGTAGTGGACCGTAGATGACAACCAGCTACAACCATCATTTACCATCATTACCATATGCGTTCCACCAGCCCGTTCGTCTGCGGGTGATACACGCTCGTACGAACTTAATAAAAGTTACGAACGGCCTTAATGCCCAGTAACCCGTAAAGTTCTCTCAGTGTGCACGACATGAACGTAGTGCCCTGGTCAGTCAGAATCTCCTTAGGGATTCCAACTCGGGAGATGACCTGAAACAGAGCCTGCGCGAAGCTCTTTGCAGAGATATTGTGCAACGGCTCTGCCTCCGGATAACGCGTTGTCAGAGTTCCCCCCTCCGGACCCAGGTAAAGGCTGGTTTAGGTCGGCCTCGCACGTACCTGTCTCAGCTCTGCAATCACGCACCTGCACCGGAGCCACAATCACCAGGGGATAAGAGGGAGAGCCTGACAACCGGCCGACGTCGGATCGTTACTCACGTCACCTATGTCGACCTCAGTCTTCGCGAGTCTCAGTGACCAGCACCCAGTCAAGCCGAGAGCCGGCTGTTCTCTTTTCATTCAGTGTAAATCCTGTTACTTACCTCTTGTCTCACCTCCTCGGTTACAGTGACACCTGTCTGTTCCTGCACGTGGGAGGACCACTGGGCACCGCGCACTGTCGAGGAGATCATCACCCGGGACCCCCTCCTTCATCTGCACTCCTCACGCCCACAACACAAAGCGATATCCGCGTGTGATATCTGCGATATCCGCGTGCGCTCCGGTGAAACGGCCCGATGAGGTCCATGCCGATCCGCTCGAACGGAACCTCCACCAACGGTAGAGGACGCAACGGCGCCCTCGGAATGGCCGGAGCGTTCACTAACTGACACTCCGGGCAGTACGCGCACCGGCGGCGCACGTCCCCCCGGATGCCTGGCCAATAAAATCGGGTCATTATCCGGTCTAGTGTTTTCTTGTATCCCATGTGACCAGCCATCGGGTTATAGTGAGCTGCCTGGAAAATCATTTCCCGGCGGCTTTTTGGCACCAGCAACTGAGTGTTTTCCT